TAATATTATTATATATTATTATAAAATAATATATAATCATTTACTATCATAGGTAAATAAAACGTATTTCAATGAAATTATTCAGAGTGTACAAAGTCAATGTCAATTTCACGAACTTTTTAATTCCTACTCAAATTCCATGACAAGTTCTAAATACCCTTAATCATGAACAAAAAGCGTCCTTGCTACCACACAAAAGGTAAAAGTCAACGGCAAATGTCAAGCCTACCGTCCCACGTACGCCAGTCCACATATATATCATTGGATTTATGACAACAAAATTGATATTAATGTAGAAAACTCGCGCGCGCACACACCAGGCAAATGGGCAAAGGTAGCAAACGGTGGGCGTGGCAAGTCAGAGTCAACTTGGTGGCCTCCTTTGCCTATTTTGCATATGAGATTCGTTCCCTTGGCCCAAACGGCCTGCTGTCTCGTGTTGTAAACCGCGATTAATGTAAATGGCGGAAAAAATGGCGCATAGTAGCAGGAAAAAAATATGGAACAGATAGAGGAGTACAGAGATAGAGAGAGTGGGAGAGAGAGAAGGAGAAAGAGTGCCACAGCAGTAGCAGCAAAGCCAGCACGCAATGTAGGTCATGGCGGGATATGTTTGAGTTTACTCTAGTGAAGATGCCCTCTCTTTCTCTCTCTCTCTGTTAGTCTCTCTTTCTATTTTTCTGCAAATCCCCCTACAGGCATTGCTGTGCGTTAGGATAAAGTGTTCATATGTTTGTACGTCGCCTGCCAAGCGGAAAATTTGTAGCAATTTCCATGGCAAGCAGCAACGGCTGATGCGGCCACCGTTGATGTTGCTGCTGTTGCTGCAACAGTCGCAGTTAATTAGCTGTTGAAGTTTTTTTATGAGATTGGCGATTAGCTAACGACGAGCTGCGTCAGCTATGTGAAAGCGAATGCAACCGCGGACTATGGCAAAGCTGAAAAACTAGAATTTGAAAAATGTTCATCATAAAATATTCTCAACTAAGTGGAGAATATTATTTGTATTATTACTTGAATATTTTTAGCTTTCCATTGGATTGTATGCAATTTAAGCAGTCCAGTGAAGAACAAAATTATAATATTAGCAATATTCTGTTCAAATAATCTTTCCCACTTTATTTCACATTAAATAAGATAAATAAGTGGATCTAAGAAATGTTTTAAGTAAATGATGCACATACAATTTGAAAACTTATAGAGTTAGTCACTTTTGCGACATGTTAACAATTTCAGATTATAAAGAGCCAACTCGCTTAATTAACTGGGAACAATACGTTTTACTTAAGGACCTTCTGCTGCAGTTGTGAACAACTTCAAATGGGTCAAAAGCATAAAAAATAGTTAAATAAATAGATACATGCAACATGTTGCGCAAACACAAATATCCATGAAAACAATTCTATAAACATTTATCCCCTAGCGCTGGATACATCTCAATTTATGTCTTTATGCTGTGTAGTCTATAGAAAACTGTGCAAATTGTTTAAATGACTTTGCATGAGTCAATAACTTGCATGATTTACTGCACTTTCGACACCCCTAGCAGTTGGCTCTATTCTAATACAAGCAAAACTGCAAACTAGATGAAATATGAATATGAACATATAGCGTATGCCAAACACACACATACAGTGTAAAAGAGAGATAGAGAGAGAGAGGGAGTGTGGGGAAATCCACGCATATAACAAATATTCTGTCTGTGTTTGTGTGTGTGTGTGTGTTTGTAAGGAAATTGTCGCAATGCAGTTGCAGTTTTTGAGTTTGGCGAAAAAGTTGGCGTTTGAGTTTCGAGTCGAGTTGAATTTTACATTTTCCCAGGGCCGAAAGTTGTAACAGCAGCGCATCGTGTGGTTAACTTTTTTGTTTTTTGTCTGTGTGTGTGTGTGTTGTTTTTTCGGCTACTTTACGCCAGTTTGGAAATTGAAAGTGAAAACTGCCGCAGCTGTTGTGGAAATAATTCATAAATTGAGCGCGAATGTTGCGGCAAAATAAAAAAGTTTCAAAGTCATTTGGAGCGAACGATGATTTAGTATGCAAATTGACGCCTAGACACATAACAAATATTATTGAAACAATATTGGCACATGATTCGAACTGTCTAAAGAGCTCTCAATTTTCATCTAGGAAGTGAATTCAATAATAATGGCATAAGTATTGACATTACTTCTCAAAATATTGCTTTAAAATTGTTTTCTAAACGCTTTTTACTGGTAAAGTCAATTGATTGTAAGACAAGCGAATGGGTGGGTTTTGGCTGGGTGTGCTCGACTGGGTAATACTCTGGCAGAAATGAAGAGCAGCAGCAGAGGAACAGTAGTCGAATGCGAAGACTTGAAGGCCGGCATTTCAATGAATTTTAAGGCATTCTGTTTACTTGCATAACAATTGATATTTTGGATGAAGAAATAATTTATAATAAAATCTTATTAATTCAAATTTTAAAAATTTTTATTAACAATATGAAAATGGAATCTCTGAGTGAGCGCATCGTAAACATCTTTGGCAAAACAGTTTTATTTTCACAGTTAAAATTAATATTTTTTTCATTTCAAATTAAAATGTCTCATTAATTGGAATATCTTTGACAAATTCATAAAAACAAATTAACCATATCGAACCTAACAGCGTTAGCTGTTTTATTCCAACGATATCCAATATATAGATACTTATACATGAATTGGCAATCAATGCGTGTTTTATGCTCGCAAAGGATCAAGCTTTTTGCTGCTGTCCACGCACAGTTAACGACATTTAATTACAAGCAGCACATGGCGCACTCGACAACCAGCTCAATTACACGCACATTCGACGAGTTAAAAAAATATGCCAATTTTAAATTTAATTAAAAAATTAACGCCAATGCAAATGACTGTAAAGCAACAACAAAAAAAGACAGAACAAAATCAAGTTACCAGCAAAAGCTGAAAAAATGGCAACACAAATGCCCAGCAATAAACATGTAATGGGCGTGGCGCGGCGTCGAGTCAATCAATATAAATTAAAATTAATTATTGATAAATTCTGTTGATAATCAACGAACAAAAAAAAATTAACAATTTACATTTAGCTTGACAAAAGTGAGCATACTTGTATGAATTACAATAAATATTTAATCATTTAAATTAACAAATGATACTTGAAAAAAAAATGGAATAATATATGGGAGCCACGATAGACGTATTTAATTTACTGACTTTTAGCTTTGCGCTTTTGACTACAATACGTTACTATGTGACCTTGTTATTATAAATGATATATAGCATTGATGAGCAAAAGATCAAGCTAAACATCCTTATGGAAATTATACTTGAAAAGTGAAATTTTATATACATATATTATTCAAACTTAATTTCTCACATTTTATTAAAAATGCTTATATACAAATATTTGCTTCAATAAATTGAATATTTGTATATAAACGGAATGAAATATATTTAACAAACAAAACATAAAATATCTATTTGCAAATTATTAATAAAAATATATTTTGTTGAATTATTAAATTGAATAATTTAATAAAAATTAAAAAAATATATATATTTATAAAATTTTCTTGAATATTACATTGAAAAAAAATATATAAATATATTTTGTTGAATTATCAAATTGAATAAATTCATACAAATTTAAAAATATTTATAATTTAAATATAAATATATACATTTATATACATAATAGCTGTAAAAATTTCTTTTGGCTTGCCTTAAACACTTCTCATACTGGAATTTAAATTTGAGAAATCTTCTCATCTGTTTTATTTGCAGACTCAAGGTGGACAACAACGGTGGTGCCTGGTGTCCCAAGCATATGGTCTCACGCGGTCTTACGGAATATCTGCAAATTGATCTGCTGCAGGTGCATTTGGTGAGCGCCATACGCACACAGGGCCGCTTTGGCAAAGGTCAGGGCCAGGAATATACGGAGGCATATGTGCTGGAGTACTGGAGGCCGGGCTTTGAGAAATGGTTGCGTTGGAAGAACCATCAGGGCAAAGAGGTGAGTGCCAAGCCTCTGTAGATCTAGCTCCGCATTCACACATTAATCACGCGAATGGGTCGACCGCTGTGGCGATAAACTTCGCATCGTTGCCGTAAGCAACGAAACAGATACAAAATGTATCTTAACATCTTTAGGCTGTGAAATTTACGTGCGAATTATCGCGAGCTTAGCGAGAATTGCGTAGGTGTCCCGCGATTAAGCTGGCTCTGGCTGTGTGTGCCCCGAAACCGTTCCATCGATTTATTGTGTGCAAGCCAAGAAAATCAATTTGAACGCTTTTGTTTTTTCTCTCAATCTTCTCTCTTTTTCTTGCTTTATTTTGTAGCCAAAGATCTCAAATTCCCCCACCTACACAGAGCTGAAGCATTAATAACGTTTTTTTGCTTTGCAGATACTTCCTGGCAATATAAACACCTACAGCGAGGTGGAGAACGTGCTGCAGCCCAGCATCTTTGCGTCCAAGGTGCGCATCTATCCCTACAGTCAATACGATCGCACCGTTTGCCTGCGCGCCGAGATCGTTGGCTGTGCCTGGGAAGGTAAGTGGTCCATTGCCATAGCCATGAATTATACCAAACATTACGCGCGTCCCTCATCCCACATCCCCGATGCAGCCATTCAACATTGTGGTCGCACTTGTTCCTGCCCTGCGGCTGGCAAACAGCTAAAGTATCGCTTAGCTCTTTGCCTGGTCGCAAGAGCGAGGTTATCCAGAGACAAATCGAAGCTGTCATACTCTAGCAAATAAGTGCTGAGTATATGTTTATTTATAGAGAGACTCTTCTTATCGAAGCACTTGGATTTTACATGCTATAGATACTATATATAGTACATTCAAGTAATATAAGAAACAAAAATTATATATGCAATATTTTCTTTCATATGATACATGAAAATTATTATTATTGCAGATGTAGATAATATGATATATAATTATTTATATATATTATATTTCATATTTTTGAATCAATATAATTAAAGAATAGAATATATTTCCCTTAACAATAAATGATATTTTATTAGTATAAAACTTAAACGAAATTTGTTGTTTAATGTATTTATACTTAAGAATTTTCATTTTATATTAATCAATATTATTATATTTTATTATTATTTTAGGCTATTATGTTTTTTTAATTTATATATTTCATATTCATATTCTATAACATTCATTTAATAATAAATATTTATAAAAATTCTCAGTTGCTTTAAGTTCATTCATATTACTTTGCACATTGCTCATTTCTTCAGAAGTTAATAAATAAAACCGAATCTGCATATCTGGCATATTCTCGCAGAGCATATTTCAAAATCAAAGTACCTTAAAGTTCGTTAATGTATGAAAAAGTATCTATAGGCATGCAATCAAGCGTGCGACCGGTTTTGATGACTTTGTTTTGCATTTGCGCGCGACCCCAGAGCTAAAACTTAGTTAGTTTCTTTTATTGTTTTATTAAAGGTCTCGTTGCTGTGGCCAAGTTCTGGGCTCCATTGCATGCTGCATTTTTAATTTACAATTTTTAGGCTAATTTATTGCTTTTCTAGTCGAATAACTTAAAATTTGTGTAATGTAATTTCAACATGAGCCACAGCATTATAATTACGAGTAGCTGCAATCGGCCCAAAATATGACGCCACAAATCGTCTTACATTTACGCTCTGCCTTTCACTAGCTCACCTTATTTATCGCTTAACTTATTCATCTTGCCATTGCAGAGGGCATTGTATCGTACAGCATTCCGAAGGGTGTGCAACGCGGCATGGAAATCGATCTATCCGATAAAACCTATGATGGGCACGAGGAGGGCGATCGCTTTGTGAATGGACTTGGCCAATTGGTTGATGGACAGCGAGGCAAGGATAACTTTCGCATGGATATCAATGGCTTTGGTAAAGGTAAACACATATTGGACTGGTTACCGAAAATCAAATGTTGTTTTATGCTACTCCATGTGCCTGTCACATAAACTACTTTAGTCTAGACTGCGTTAGTGACGGCTTGAGCTCTACATGCTGTGGCTGCCTCATAAATGCCACATAAAATTTCGCTAAACTGGCAGCACAGTCATTTGGTATCATACATAATGGATATTAGACTACTTTCGTTCTTAGTTTCTAAGATATTTGGTCGAGACAGAAAATGCATAAAGTAAAGTGTAATGAAAGGCGAGCTATTAGGCCTACTTACGTAAATTAGGTCTATGGCAGACATAAGATAGAATTTCACGAGGGAGAAGCTGAAATATACAAAAGTAAATTTTGATAAATAAGAAACTTTTCAATGAATCAGAAAAATTATATATATGAATCAGAATGGTTGTACTTAATTAAGGAATAAATAAATAATACATTAGATTCATTCACATTTATATTTGTTTATGTGTTAATCAATTCACTTTCGTTTAAATTTGCTTTTCTAGGTTACGAATGGGTTGGCTGGCGTAATGACACTTTATTTGGCCGTCCAGTCGAAATCACATTTGAATTTGAAACAGTGCGAAATTTCAGTGCCGTCATTATACACACGAACAACATGTTCTCCAAAGATGTGCAGGTGAGTTTGAAGTGACTACAAATAGTGCTTCTACAACTGATGCGACAACTCTTACAACTTTTAACTTTGGTATTATCCTTCACAACACAAAAACTTCACTAGGTATACTCCGTATATAAGTTTGCCTATTATTGCAATTACACATTAAATTCATCCTACTACCTTTTGTCATAATCGTAATAGTTCATTAAATACTACTATTACTACTACTACTATTTGTACTACCTGCACTACATTTAAGAGTCATACAAGTACAATATTCTACTGTCATTAATACTACGTATTCGAATACTATTACTGAGACTACTCCCTTTTAAATGCTACCATTTACACAAATTATTGACATACTAATACTACTATTACCATGCTTTATTCTACTACTTGTTGACCTACAACTACTATAACTTCTACATGATCTACTACTATTACTACTTTTTATTACTCTTTCTACTACTATTACTTCTATTAATTAAACTTATTCTACTATATTCTAAAATATAAATCTATGCTACTTATTCTATTTTTATTGCACTATTATTAATTAATACTAATCTACGTCTTTTGAACTACCATTTTACTAATTACTTTACTACCTTTTGTCATTCTATTTATACTACAAATTATTTCATACTAAATATAGACTAGTACTACTTTTTCCTACTACTACTTTTCAACTATTATTATATTGTATACTACTAGTTCCTATGTTTTATTGTTTTTCCCACTCTGTATTCAATTTTTATTTTATTCTATAGCATTCTTATTACTACTTCTCTTGCTGTTCAGCTTTCTCCTCATACTATTTATAATACAATTCCTAATGCTGCTACGCTGCCTTCCCTGTGTAATACTCTCCTACTAATACTTCTACTTCTACCCACCAAACGCATTCCAAGAGTCCACGATTCAAATCAGTCTGCAGCTATCAACTGCAACTGCATTTCATCACATTTTTATTGTTAATACCACAATTGCATATAAGACAACACGATACTGTCATTTGTGGACAGATAAATTGGCTCTTAAAAAATAAAATACAACAGCAACAATAACAATAATAACAACAACAACAACAGCGACAGCGACAACAAATTATATAAACAAAACGAGCTGCGCCTTTTGTTTGGAAATCGTAAAAAATCAACAGCCGCCGCTAGGTCCGATCCGCAACCGCTCCACACTCGCATACAGTCCATATAGTACCCAGCTAGCCAGACACACTGGCGGCGGCAAACTGAGCAAATAAATGCTAAACAGTTCTGACAACAAAAAACACAGCAACCACAGTGCGGTAATAAAATAAAATTGTCCGAAAGCGGGACAGAGACAGAGAGACGAAAGAAAAAATACGAACAATTTTTTTTTCTTTCTTTCCACACATAAACAAACCAAATACGAAATCGAACCTAAACAAACCGCAATTGATATAAATGCCCGCACCCAGCAGCGTGCCGGCCCGATCTGACTCAGGTGGCACTTGAAATCGGGCTGAGGTACTCGCACTATACATACACATATATACATATATGCCGAAGCATTATATAGTCAATTTCCTTACTTACTCGTAGTCTTTATCGAAAGTAAACACAATGCGAGTATCCAGGCATATGTATTTACGAATACATGAATACAATCATATAAATGATTGGGCGATGTTTTGTTTTGCTTACCCCCTTGCCCACTCTCCAACTTGGAACAACCAAAGGGAATACAGTTTCGAGTTGGGAGGACGGGCGCTGGTTCGTCTGATAGTCGACAGCTCCATAATCTGGACCCATAAAACCAAACAGAATTTTTTCAAGTCCATTGACCCAAATTATGCTGGCAATGTGTTAAATGGTAGATTGAGATAGTTATGCGCTTGTTGACTGATAAGAGAACCCCGAAATTGTTTAAAGGTAGCCAGCAGCTGGGCACAGAACACGCAGCACTATCTTTAATTAAAACCAACTCTGCTACAATTCAATATGATTGCATTTACCCCATTCACCTCACCTCAGCTCCCCTACCAAACACTTTTGCTGTCATAAATTTCTTGCACAATTCCTTCGTCGAACAGTTTCGAGTATCGTACGACAGTTTAATTATTTTTTATATGCGTCCTGTTTGATCTTATCATTGTTAGCTTTGTGTATATATTTCGAGTAATATAAACTCTAATTTTCCCCAGCTCCATATGCTTGTCAAATTTGTGTCAAATTAATCTTGACTTTTTTTGTTTTATCAAGGGAAAGTATGTATATGATAGCTACCAAACTCTGACTACATTCTGATGTTATAATTATGCATTTTATGTGTACTTTGTTGGGTTAAACACAATTTTTTTCCATACACATATATTGAATACATCTGAGAGCCAATGCCGATGGTACATTGTTTTGTTTATTGTTAGGTCGCATCATGTTTTTGGGGCTTATAAATATATTTAGGTCAGTATTATAACATACCATATAGCTAAGCTGCATTGATAACATGGCCAAAAATCTGGTTGCTTTCATAAGGCATGGAACAATAGAAACATTTATACATTTATGCGTGCCCGATAATATGAGCCCACATGATTTCCACTTCCATAAACAAATACTATTATAAATTTGTAGAAATCATATCTGCTTATTTGAGATATAAAATAGCTATCATAAATTCCTTTTTCATCAACTAGGTTTAATAAAATGTAGGAATATAATGAATATAGATATTTTCGTATACACTTTGAAGGAAAGTTTTTTATTTAAAGACAAAAAATAATAATAATTCCAATAAATTCCGATAAAGCATTAAGTCATAAATTCCATTTACGACCTAAGTTGATGATGTTCAAAGTGGACAAAATGCGATAAAAACTAAAGAAGATTTAACGAAATATTTTTAAATGTGCTTTTATAGACAGAGGAATATTTGCCAAAAATGAGTCATTTTTTATGTTTAAAAAAGTTGATTTTTATTATTCTTTGAACTAACTCAACATAATATCAAGATATTATGCTTGCCGAGGTTCAAGAATTTGCATCATTGCATTTACCGTAGTCACTAATCTAAGGTCAAATAGAATATATTTTAATCTGTTGCTCTCTTTTTACATTAATTTAAAATAAATTCAAATTTTTTAGATAATTTTTGTTTTGTGTTAAGTATTGTCATATATTTTTGTAATATAATTTATATAATCTGTTAATTTGATGCAATTTATTTTAATGTGAAATTAGTGAAATATAATTTTTTAAATTATTGAAAATATCGTATATAAATCTCATACATTAAATCATATAAGAAGTAAGGTCGGCGGCAACCTAGCCTCCTTCTATCTGAAGTTATCTGTGGGCAGCAGTATCCAGCTTCCTTAGGTTGTTTGCTTAAGAATAGAATGTCTTCAAACATTAAAATGGCATTAAAAGGCATTGCACTCAACAAACCATATTTTCTTCAGCATTTCAATGGAGCTATAAACCTTATGCTCATTTGCATCTTATATTTATCTGTAACTACCGTATAACTAATCATAATCAAGAGCTTCTCAGTCCCATCAACTAAACTAACTGTCTAATTTTATGGCTTCTTCTGTTAATTACCGACAAATCCCAATGAATGCTTCTGCTGAATCTTAACTGCTCTCTGCTTACCCGGAAATTTATGATTAGTTTTTATTTGGATATTTTTTTTTTTAGTAAACGAATAATTTCCAGTGCTTTTCGATTTGAATTGGAAATTCGATAGAGATGCCACTTTAGATAGAGCACTTTAGTGGCCGACTTGAAGTTTTCTGAGTTGGTCCACAAATCTGCTGACGTAATTAACCACAAAGTATGCTGGCCAGGCCAATTGGCAGCAGCTTCGAGCGGCACATAAAATTTCAATTACCACAAATTTTCTAGGCGCTTTGATTTGTTGCCGCCATTTGTACGCCAGTGCCTGAACTGAACAGGGCTGTGAGTCAAGAGTCTGGGGTGGTGGCCTACCTGGACCTGGAGACGCTCTTTTGACTTGGCCATTGACCATTCGCTTTATGGTTGCCATAATTTACACAGAATCAACGACAACGTCGACAACCACGACGACGACGATAGCATCTACGTCCACGTCTCCTGCTCAGTCGCTATAATTCTCATTTTTATGATTTTTCATTACCATTTGCTTGGCCAGCGCCATTCGGAATGCCCCATAAGTCATAAAATTACTTAGAGCATCCAGCGCAGCGGAGCACGGGGCCAGGTTCGCCTGGGTACACGTTGCGGTCATGCAATAAATACTCAAAATGCCATTTGTGATGCATTGATAAGCCCAAAATTATGCTAATTGTGTTTTAATTATGACACGCGTGTGGCTGGCTGTACCTTTCACTACACCTGCGCCTTCCACCAGCTACAGCCAGAGCTCTTCAATACAGTTTCAGACCTCAACTCCAACTCCAACTCCAACTCAAGTCCAAGTCGAAGACTCAGTCCAAGCCCTGTCATTACATGTCAGATGTTCGATAAGCCTCTTGAGCTCTTGTGTTGTTGGTTAGCGTCTGCCTGTTTGACTTTCTTTAGCATTTCTAATGAGCAGCGACGCTCCACTCCACTCTCACTCTATCTCTGTCTCTCTCACTCATTCGCTGTGTACTCTTTAAAATGCGTGCTCAGATTTATAGCTTCGATTAAGACATTGTCATGGAGGGGTCAACGTCTACGTGTGGTCCTATTAATTAGTGAGGGGTGGCTTAGACTCATCAGATTGTTTGTCTCTATAAGTGGTGGACTTCCGTTGGGTGCAGCTGTGAGTGCGTGTGTGAGTGTGATGGACAGCACTGAGAAAGTTTGTTGAAAACTTCTTTGACAGGTTGTTGGCCAAAAAGGATATAACGATAAGCCAGTCTAACTTGGATATAACTTTCCTCGAGTTTCACATTAGATAATAATTAGTGTAGAGCTAAGCGCACATATGAAATAACTTATTGAAAATCAAATGTGCATTTAGATTGTGTATGTAAATCGAATAGCCCTCAATAGAGTAAATATGATTTTAATAGTATTACTAATAAAAGTATGCATACAACAGCTATAGATACAGATACAGATACAGATGCAGATACAGATACAGATACAGATACAGATACA